TATATCAAATATATCTCGCTCTTAAAAAATTATAACAAACTTGAAGAATATATAATTATGGTTTGCTTTTTGGAATATATAATCGTATATTAAAATAGAATAGATTATTTTTAAACTCAAACTTAGAAGTCTCATGAGACTTAAATAAATTATTTTTAATATCATAAATAAGAAGATTAAAGGATATATTTGATTGGACTATGTTGAATAAAGTTGAATCCATAGTCAATATTAATTTTATTGCTAAAAGATGAAAATACTCTAACTTCAAGAAAATTATTCTTTTTTGATCAAAAGTTTTATTTTCTTTTTAATAGCAATCCAAAATATATATTGACATAAAGTATTCAAAGTTTTTGTGATTTGTATATACAAAGATTGGACTAAAAGCATCTTTTAGATAATAATGCTATTCTTAAAATGAAGCCATGATTATAAAAAGCTCTTTGTCATAGATCTTATAGTTGATTTTGGTTACTAAAAATTTTATAGAATAAAAAGCTATCAAGTCGAGCTTGTCATTTGCTCCCATTTGTGACAACACCAAAATTCTAACAAAATTTGGTGTATTTATTTCTATAAAAAAAATACCTTGAAAAAGTCAATGCAATATAAGATTGGTGTAGAAAAAAATATTGTCTATAAACCCACAAAAGATGATTCAACTTCTTTGTTCCACTCAAATATGTCTTTACATGTCAAACATGTATGAAGAACTACAGTTTGAAAAAAGTTTTTGATGAAGATCTAGTAATAATTGGCAAATCCCAAAAATATTGTACATATTTGATTGTTTTTAGAATCTTCAAAAAAATGATAGTCTAGACCTTTTTAAGATCCATCATAAGATTATTCTTTGAAATGATGTATCCTAAGAAATTAACTAAAGTAGTATAAAATACATACTTTTTTTTTTTTATTTTGGCATATAATCTTACATCTTTTAATTTTTGTAATAAATAAAAAATATGAAATTCATGCTCTTTTTTGTTATTAGAATAGATTAAAATATCATTTAAATAATAGATAATAAAATCATCAAAAAACTCACAAAAGACATTATTCATTAAATATTAAAAAGAAATTGGTAAATTTGTGAGTCCAAAAGGCATGACATTATATTTGAAATGTCCATATTTAATTTAAAACATAATTTTTCTTTCATCTCTTTTTTTAATTTCTACCAAGTTGTATTCTTATTGTAGATTTATTTTGATATAGATCTTTGCATGATTGAATTGATTAAGCAACTCTAAAATCAAAGATAGAGGATACCAATTCTTGATGGTGATTTTGTTGACTTCTTGATAGTCTATACATATCTTCAAAGTTCCACCTTTTTTTGTTATAAATAAGATAAGAGCTCTTGTTGGAGATTTAAAATAGCATATGAAGTTTTTTAACTAAATTCTTATTAATATATTCTTTAAGTGCAGTCAATTTGTTTTGCAATAAACTATAGATTGGTCCAAATAATGGTTGAGTTCTATCTTAAAGATCAATAGAACAATTACAAAGATGATATTTTAGAAGAATATCTTTATTCCTTTTTTAAAAATTATCTTGATAATCTGATATTGGCTTCAAATAATATATGAAGTCTTTTTTGTATTAAAAATAGGTGTGGCATGTATAGCATAAGTTGACTCTTTTTTTATTACATATATAAAAAAAATTGTATGTACTAATATGGATTTTTACTTAACTAGGAAATCTCGGATTAAACTACGAGAAAAATCAAGGTTATAAAAAATCTAATATATTTGAAGGTTATGCTTCTCTAGCCATAATAACTTTAAAATAATTGTATTGAATAGAAATCTAATGACATTGAATATTACTAAGTTATTATGATCTTTAATTAATATATCTAAAAGAATTGTTTTGTAGATAATGTTATCATATTATATGAAGTCCTCATAGAGAATGAACTAGGTACTTGGTTGTAGAAGATAAAAAAGAATTACAACAAGTCTTAATAATTTTAATAGAATCATATATAAATTACAATTAAATATTAAAAAACATGATCAAATATTAATCAAGTTCAATTGAAATTACATAGAGATTATAAAAAAAATACAAAGAAATCTAAAAGAATTTTTGAAGAAATTATAAAGAAATAATAAAGAAATTCTAAAGAAATATAAAAGAATCCTTAAAAAAAGCTTTAAAAAATTCTTAAAAAATCCAAAAGAAATCCAAAAGAAATCCAAAAGAAATATTAAAGAAATCTTAAAGGATCCAAAAGAAATTCAAAAAAAATTCAAAAAAAATCTTAAAAAAATCCTAAAGAAATTCTAAAGAAATAATAGTCAAATCTTAAATTCTAAACCAAATTTTAACTAAATCCTAAATCTCAAACCAAACTCTAATCAAATCTTAAATAGATCCTAACTTAAATCTAATTTATTCAAAAAAATCCTAAAGTAATTTAGAACCTTGATATCTATTGATTAAACTATTGATCTTGCTTAAAATTTTAGACATCCCTCAATTTTTTAGTTAACAATAAACATAAGAATTTTGAAGAGAATCGAACCTACAAAATGAGAGAAAAATATCATAATCTACTCAAGTGTTGGCTAGCCTCCATATCTAACTTTAATATTAATCTTCCAAAAGAAATAACTTATAATTGAGCTATCAACTTGCTTTCAAATTTTACAAAAATATTGAAACTCAAGTCAAATATTAGCTCTAATAAAAATCACCTCAATCCAATTAGAAAATTGATTAATATTTTAGATAATCTTATAAAGTCTTCTCTCAAATTCTACTCTTTAATTTGCAAAAAAAATCCTAGAGTTGCCATAAGTGCATAGTTTTATCCCATAGAATCTGATTTTGATTCAAATTGACAACTAATCCTCTTTAGATATCAATTTTTGATTTTTTGAAATAACTTTTACTAAAATCAACTTCTAACTTTCTTATACATATGTCTATATCATTTATTTTTTAATCTAACTTATTTTTCTTTATTTATGATTTTACAAAGTAAATAGAAGCCAACTTTGCAAATAAAAATTGTGTGGCTCTAATTAAATCTTTTTTTTTAGCATCTTTCAAAGAATTAATTGCAATATGCAAGTACTTGAGCAATAAATTTCTTTAGTGAGTCTACTCTTGGCATCATCAATTATAAATCTTTGACCTTATATTTTAATCCATATCAAAATTCATTGATAACAACTTTATCATTTCAATCTATATAAGAAGTAAGATTTTAAAATTCTATAATATATATAGTAACTTAACATGATTTTTATTATAAAGATACAAATTTGGTCTTTTCTACTCTTTTTCAATCAATTTTTCTAAAGATAGTTGAAAATACTTCTAAGAATGAATTCAAGACATAAAAAAGATATAAATTTTTTTCCATCAAAGATGCAAATCAAGAAAAAATACTCTCAAAGTGAAGTATATCTATGAATCCAATTTGAGTAAATCCATTAGGGTATTGAGAAGGATATAACCTTAGATAGAGCTTTACTTGTTGTAAAAATCCTTGAAATTTTGATCTTGTTCCATTAAACTTCTTAGACATACTTATCCTCGTATCTTTCATATTTGGAGTAAGAAGACTTCTTAGATTTAGTTGTAAGCTTGATCTACTTGCTTCTCTCAATTGCACAACTTCTTGGCATAGTCTTTAAATTTCATTATTGACTTCTTCCATAGGCATTAAAATACTAGCTCTATAATTGACATTAAAGATACATGAAATTTTTACCCTTAGAGTATTGACAAGCTCCTAAAGATCTACAACAGTTATAAATTTATTTTTACTTTTACTAAAAATAGTATTCATAATTTTTTCTTTTATAGATAACTCAAAAAAATCTATAAGTCAAATTAAAGAAAGATAATTTTTAATTTCTAATATCAAATGAAAGTTTCTACAAAAAAGATTAGTCTACTCTCTTTAAGAAAAATAATTAGTTTTAAAAACTAAAAGTGAGTTTAAAAGTAGATAATCTATGACTTTCAAATTACAATCATAGAAGTGGATAATCCACTCACTTTTAATACAAGGACAAGAAGTTAGCATTCTTTTCAAATTATCAATGACATAAATCTTAGAGAACTAAAAAATTAATATACTTTTATATTACTTAAAAAGATTAGCAAATTATACAAAGATGGTATAACATTAAATTAAAATAGCTATTGCTAAAAATAAAATAACTAAAAAAATCTTAAAATAACACCAAAGATTAGAAATACATTAATAAGAGTGAAGTAGGCTTCATTTTTGCTTCCATATATACTATTCAACTAGGAGCTAAATGGCGATGTCTTATAGAACCTTCAACATATGTCCAATTTGTAAGATACATGTCTTATCTTGCAAATCAAGTTTCTTATACATGTACCACATCATTAGCTTATATTACAAGTTATTTACATGTGTAATACATGGCTAGCTTATTGGCTATATTTCTAACCTACCAATGAAATATAAACATATATAAATTCAAATATACATCTATGAAGCTTTTCAAAAGTTTTGCCATAAAATAATATCAAATCTATCTATGTTTATCATCTACTTAGTACTTCTTATCTAATTAAATATGAATATCATTGATATAAGGATATAAATTATAAAGAACCAAAGAATTAATATATTCATATATTACTAGAAAAAAAAAAAAACATAATCATTCAAAAATGATAAATTATTAAGACTAGAATGGCTATTATTAAAGGTAAAAAAATGAAAACCTCTAAAAATAAAACTAAAAATAAAAAAAGGCATCAAAAAAATTAAGAACTTCATTCTTGCATCCATATATATTATTTAACTAAAAACTATGTGACAACATTATATAAAACCACCAAATCTATGTCTAACTTATCATACATGTTTTGCATATACACCACATAGCAAACTATTATCATAAATAGCCGACATGTGGCATACATAACTACTAAGACAATGAATAAGCTTTGTTATAGATAAAATTTTCCTAAATAATAGGTGATCATTATTGTACCAAATGCTTGAATTATTTGGAATCATAAAAAATAAGACGCTACTTCCCCTTTGGACTCAAAATCATCCCATTTGAGGTAGCTCTCTAGGTTCAATTTTAAAACAACTCTAACAATTTGCAGTGTTAAGTCGAAGGCATTGTCAACCAAGAAGTGTACAATATTGTTAACCAAAACAATGATAATTGTCACAAGAGCAAGAGAATCTGGATCTATCTAAAGGAAGAAGCCAAAAAAACATCACAGATTCCAAAGCACCCAACCAGCATCACCCTCACACGCTCTACAGTAACGTAACAGAAGAAACTTTTTCACACGCATAGGTATTGACGCATCTGGGGTACCAATGGTTAAAGCTACCGGACATGAGGACCCATGTTGTGCTGTTCGAAGTTTAAGGGTCGTTGCCGGAGTAATGCTCGTCCGAGTTTCCTCGGTTATACTCTGCCGAGGCAATGCTCGTCCGAGTGTTGTTGGACCGGTCCATCTCCGAGAAAGTTCCTAAATGGCCGTCCTCCAATACGATGGCTTCATGAAGCTGCTTCACCACGTCCCTCATGAATGGTCGGTGGATGCCCAGGGGCTCTACGCACTGGATAGCCAATTCCGCCACTTTCCACACACTGTCCATGTTGGGGTGGCAATCTCTGATGGTGGGGTCTAGGATGCTTTCTATGTCGCCAGCTAACATCAAATTTCTCACCCATTCGACGATGTCGGACTGGCTCTTGTCTAGTAGACCGTTGTTGATTGGCTGACGGCCGCAGAGGACCTCCAGCAGCACAACTCCAAAGGTGAACACGTCACTCTTCACTGACAGCTGGTTTGTGGACAAGAACCTGATGATCGTGATAACGAATAGTGAGTGATTGCATTATAGAGTTCAGGTTCTACAGGAGGACTGGACATCGATCAATGTTGGTGATTCAGCAGAGGATTGGTCACATGTAAGCAATGGCTTAGTGTTGAGAAGCGGCAGAGAGCTTACTCTGGATCCAAGTAGCCGATGGTCCCTTTCACCACAGTCGAGACGTGAGTGGCTCCAGATGATTCTTCCGGTCCTAACCTTAAGACACCGAAGTCTGCCACTTTGGCAACGTATTTATCAGTGAGTAGAATATTGTTACTCTTGATGTCGCGATGGATAATGTTAGGGCTGCATCCTGTGTGTAAGTATTCCAGACCTGAATAAACAAGCACCAGAGGACTTTAGAATTTAGAAACCACTCGGGGTGAACAACAGTGTAGGACCGTTCACGTGTTCAATCCTGAATAAGCCTACAGAACCTGTTAGTGGATCATGTACCTTGAGCAGCATTCAGAGAGACGTCCAGGCGTTGTTTCCAATCCAATGGCTCCTTAGCCAGTGGACGCTCTGCATCGAGCCATGACCAGGTGCGCCATAATACAGCGCATTCAGAGTAGGCAACAAGAAGTTTTCACGATAGATCACTTTATCTGCAGCAGAGCCTGTCTTGAATAACCAGCACCCCACATTAACCTAACAAAGAAATCACCATACTAATCGAATTTTAAAAGATCTTACACCTGGGGCTGCTCAATGAAAGGCTTACCCCAGAGATGCTCACGGACGGTGCCCTTGTGCAAATACTCATACACCAGCATTTGTTGTCCGTCTTCTTGACAATATCCAAGTAAAGAAACAAGGTTTTTGTGGTGTACTCTAGATAAGAGTTGCACCTGAAAGAAACTCACATATTTAGGACATGTTTCCAAATTCAAAATACGATTTTAGATTGTGCAATGTTGCACGGATTCTGCTAGGAGAGACACATTCCTGACAGATTACACAAGAAACAGTCGAGAATTCATTACAGACAAGGATATTGCAACAGGAAAAATACATACACAAAAAATAAATAAATAAATAAACGACCCTCACCTCATTGTTGAATTCAGCAGCTCCTTGATGAGAATTCACGTCAGATACCTTGACAGCAACTTCTCTTCCATTGGCAAGCTTGCCGTAGTACACTGGACCGAATCCTCCCGATCCAATCTGCTTGCTGAAATTCGACGTGGCTGCTTTTATCTCTGGGTGCGAAAATGGCTTTGCCCCTTGTGCGTTTGTACCACTCAAATTCGGAACTTCGAAGTTCGAAACACCTGAAAAGTCTCATCTTGTTCTTTAATAGAAGTGTTTAAGATGCAAACCACAGAGATTCATAAACATGACCTATTTTTGTCATGAGAAATGATTGCAACAAGTTGGACATGAGCAAGTACATAAAAAATAAAAGAAGAACCTGTTTAATGAATATCAGTCGTGTGCTCGACTAGAGAACATACCGTCCTTGACCTTGCCCTTGCCGCCAGAATTATTTGGATCAGAGTTTGATTCAAGCAACTAGGGTTCCATGACCCTGATAGTTTGGCGCTTCCTGCAGAAACAGAAGAGCAAGATACCCGCTACAGCGAGAATGAAACTCGCTACAACTACTCCAACAATGAGACCCACATTGGGCTTAGATCCTGAATCAGAATTCGTGAATGGTGTCGAGCAAGTAGGCCCACATGCAGGGTTTCCGTTTATGCTGCATACATTGAAGAAAACAAGCGGTCAACCACGGTCAAGTCGCTCAGCACAACAATCAACCAAAACCTAAAGAACTAATGCTAAACCGTGAGCTGCATTAAGATGTGCGTTTGAAAGCTTCTGATTTGTAACAAGGATGGAGCTCTTACTTCAACTTCAGCCAAGGCTTGTTCTTCAAGGCGTCGGGGACTGTCCCGTTGAAGTTTTTATTCTGAAGAAATAACTCTTCCAGTGTTGGAATGAAGCTTAAGGAATTAGGAATGGAGCCAATTAAAGCATTGTCGTTCAGGTGCCTACATAACAGGATTAAGTCATAATCGATTAGTGAACATCTTAACCAGATACCACACTACTTCTGAACCAGGCAAGCAGTTCACCTACAATTTCACAACGAAAGTTGTGCGGTTGCTGTTCACTTACAATGACTTCAGTTGTTGCAATGTCTGAAGATTTGGAATGATGCCATCTAGCTTGTTATTATCCAACCATCTGCGCAGTTGTATGGCCATCGTGAGATACCTTTGGTTCACAGAGTTTGGGTTGGTAAATATAAAAACACCGATCGAAAGCATTCGTTGTAGTTCAAGAGACTAACAAGGTTTGAAGGGCAGTTAAGTTTGCAAAATCCGCAGGTATGATGCCAGTGAGGTTGTATCCTGACAATCTCCTGTGAAAACACAATGGGAACTTTAGTCCACTCCGTAAATTGCGACTGGACTCTCAGTGGTCCAAAACAATGCACACAAACTCATTTTGTCCAAAACGGCACCCGACGGAGAACATACACTGAAATTACTCTGGCAGCTGATGACTTCGTTGCGGGGCTGCATGATACCCAGGAGTGTGGAACGGGAAGGCATGGATCTCCTCCCCAGCCAGTCAAACGAAGAGCCACTTTGATTTTCTCCATCGCAGCAACTGCATTGACAGCAGCAGGAAGAAAATACAAACTAACGTTAGCATCTAAATGAAGGACCAATGGGTCAGAGAAAGACGACATTTTCACTGAGATTTTAGTTGGTCTTGTGGAAAACATCACCCAGCAAAAGTAAAGAAAAAACTCAACTTAAACGAAGGCACAAAATAGTGAACAATATTGGTGCTGACCGTCTAGCTCATTGGTACCAGCGACTGCGTCTGGAAGATTAAGGTAGATTTCGAGAGCATTGAGCAGTGGAGGAAAAATTGACCCAGGTTCTGGAATCAGACTGACAACAGTGTCTGAGGAAATCAAATATTCCGCAGTTCCCCATACCGAGGAAATGAAGGCTCCCCCCGTATCGTTGTAAGGGTTGAAAAGCATCGCACCATCTGTTCCTCCTAATTCAAGGCGGAAGGACCTTGAAGTCGCATTGGCTGAAGCGTCCAGCTCAGCTATGTAACAATACAGAGTAGCTGAAATGGAATCCAAGCCGTGCGTGCTGTAATTAACTGGTAATTTTACCAGTGAGAGTGTAGGAGAAGTTATGGCAGTTTGCATCACTTCAGAAACAGGTTTGATAAAGTAGCCAGAATCAAATACCGGCGTCACTATGGATATTGTTGTTAATGTCGGAGGTTCGACCCAAGGAGTCCACAGACGATCGAATGCATCATCTGGATACCTCCATAAATTTCAAAACATTTCTCACACTTCTTAGTTTCATCACCTAATAATCAAATCTATCATTCCACGACTGAGATGAAACAACTGGAGCAAGATTGGACTTCTAGGAACAACCTCGCATGATCGAATGCGAAAATGTAATAAGTAGTAAGTTCGTCTGTACTCCTGTGATGAGCTTACCTTATGACAGCATAACCACCGTAATTGAGTCGTTCCAGAAGAATCATAAAATTCCCTCCAAGTCTGCGGGAATATGAATATGAAAGATCTGGCACTTGTCTGAATACCAAAGAAGATATGAAGGGTGTCCCCTTAGATGTAGAATCTTGAAACAAACAATATGAAATATTCGTAGCAGTTCCTTTCGTTCGATAAATTACTTCAGCATGCTGAGGCTCATCAGCCAATTGGCTTATGTCTATGACACTTATTCTTGTTGAGTCTATAGCGAAGTTGAACTTTGGTGGAGTATTAGTCCCGTCATAGTTACCGTACCAATAGGAGGATCGGATGATGTACGTAGAATTTGGCTTGATAGGTACTACGTAACAAAACTTTTCCCGTTTCTCCTGAAAGTACCGAAGACTACTCAGTTCACTGTATAATCCATCAGTTACTGGAACAGCCGCAACGGCCTGCCCGATGGAAATGTACGCATCGTCAGGGGTCAATGATAATATTAATAGTAAATCCACTTTTATGTCTGAAGGAAATGATATGATTATCTTTATGGATAAAAAAAAATGGAAATAGATAGAGTAATATGTTTCAAGTTTATGGATAGTGAAAGATTCTATTGGAGAAGATATTAATTCTCTTTGGCATAATCAATTCTAAACATATATATATATATATATATATAAAATAAGGGAACCTATAGGTGGACACCACTTGATACTGTGTTGACACCCAAATGCCATATATTCTCACATAGACATAGTAAATCTCTTATTTATTCTAAAGAATTTTAGAATAAATTTATAGTAAAAGATATATGTACAATGGCTTCTAACAGTTGTTTTCTTTTTTTTCTTATTGATTAAGATTAATCTAAATTTATAATACATTTTATGTAATTTTTTTGTTTATTTCAAAAAGATTATTTGTCTTAGTTAAGAATTTTTTTATTATAAATTCATATTAAGATTTTTTAATAAAAATAAGAATTTTATTATGTATATATAAAGGTGCATTGTATAAAGAGGGTATATATCTTGCAATGATTTAAAATAATTTCTAAATAAGAAAAAAGTTACAAAAAATATTTTAAAACTTGTGCCACAAGATAAGACAAAAGATAGGCAAAAAGAAAACAAGCACACTAAGTAAAGACAAGATAAAAGTTAAGAGGCAAACAAATGATTGAATGAAGACAAATAAAGGACTAAATGATGTTTTTATTTATTAAAGTGTCAAGGACAAGAACTTGATGAATGCAAATAAGCAAGTAAGATGTATATCAAAGAGAGATGACAAAATTAAAATAATAAAATATATATATTCAAGAAGAAACTAAATAAGCTATTGCCAAAGTTAAGAATAATTAGAGATTCTTGAAACTAAATTAGAATCAAGAAAAAAATTGACAAGAATAAAGAAGGACTTATTCTTATTTCTATATATATTATCTAATTAGGAGTTAAGTGATGACATACTATAAGACCTCTAATATATATCAACTCATAAGATATGTATCTAACTTACAAGGCAAGCTTTCTATATATGCACTACATATCTAATTTATACTATAAGTCACTAATATATGCAACATGTGGCCAAATTATTAGACAAGTTTTCAACCTGTCAATTATATAAACATATATAAAGGCAAAACTACATCTATGAAGCTTTTTTATAAGATATTATGAAATTTAATTATTTTAATCTATTTCTACTTATTCATATTATTTAGATAATTATTAAAAATAAATAAAGATATTTGTGACATTATTTGCCCTCTTTTTAGAAACAAGTTCTATAAGAAGGAATGAATATATGTTGAAAAAGTCCAAAATATAACAAATTATATTTGTGACATACATTAATTTTTAATTCCTTTGAAGATAGTTAATAGATCCTCTCAACCATCTATATTATCTCAAACTAAAGCATAAAGACCACCCTAATATTTGGTCATTGTGTAGACTTTCATAACTATTGAAGAAAAGAAGTCTAAAAAAACTACAAACACTTAGCATCAGCAAGGATTGTAGTCCAAGAGAAGTGTGGAAAAAGTTGTCTCTTACTTCCAACACTCTTTACTTATATGTGGAGTTTACATCCCAAGTACATAGATCTCATCCAGAGTCTCGTTTAACATTTCAATCTAGATCTAGATCTAGATTTATCTTAATCTAGCCACCACCTTAAAACCCTAGCCGCCACCATAGTAACTTCTTTTAATCCTTTGGTGCCTTATGATTATTAGCAACTTACTATGATTAATCTTTATATGGTGATAACTAAGTAAGAACTTACTGATCTTCAACACTCTCACTTTGCTAATTTTTAAAAGGCTTTTAATCTTAATCATTTAATCAAGTCTTGATGTCTATCTTTTACTAATGTCTTTGTAAGCACATCAACAAGCATATCATTTGTAACACAATACTTCATACCTATTATTCCATCTTCAATCTTCTCTCATATGAAATGATGTTGAACATCAATGTGCTTGGTCTTTGAGTGGTGTTTTGGATTCTTGACAAATGCAATACATCTTTGATTGTTACACTTAATTAGAGTTGCTTCTAATTGTACTAGACCAATGTCTTCTAATAGTTGCATTATCCAACATGCCTCCATTGCATAATGACTTGCTGCCATATACTCTGTTTCCATTGTTGATCTTGCAATGGTAGGTTGTCTCTTGCAATTCTATGAAATGGCTCCTACTCCAATGTAGAAGACATATTTCATTGTGGATCTTCTATCATTTGCATCTCCAGTCTAATCCGCATCATAATAACCTTGCAAATCAATGTTCTTACTACCAAGGCACAATTTGAAATCCTTAATACCTTTTAAGTACCTCAATATCATCTTTATCATTTTCTAATGCATTGGTCCAACCTTAGACATGTATTGGCTTACAACACTTACTACATATGTAAGATCCACTCTTGTGGCCACCATTGCATATATGAGTGAGCCTACTGCTCCCTTATATGGAACACTTTACATTTCACCTTCAACTTACGTAAACTCCTTATCTATGAGCTTCATCAACTTCAAATTTGCTTCCAAGGGTGTTCCAATAGGCTTGCACTCCTCCATGTTGAATTGTTTCAATACTTCTTCAATGTACTTGATTTGGCTCATTATAATGGTCTTGTTATTACGATCTCTTACAAATTCCACTCCCAAGCAATAGTATAATTCTCCCAAATCACTCATCTCATATTCCTTCTCTATTTTGGCCTTCATCCAATCCATCTTTTCTATATTGTTAGCCAAGATGATCAAATCATCAACATAAAGGATTACAATCAGCAAGAACTCTTTAGATTGCATTACATACAATGAGTGATCAGCCTCACTCTTCACAAACCCTTCATTGACAAAGAAGGTGTCAATTTGTTGGTATCATGTCCTTCGTGATTGTTTCAATCTATACAATTATTTCTTCAATTTGCACACAAGATGTTCTTTGCCTTGTTGTATAAATCCTTGAGGTTGGTCTATGTAGATGTCTTCTTGCAATTCTCCATTCAAAAAGGCCATCTTCACATCTATTTGGTATATTTTCAAATCCATTGCTGCTCGAATTGCTACAATAGTCTTAATGGTGGTGAATTTGGCAACGGATGCATATGTCTCATTGAGATCAATTTCAGCAAATTGTGAATATCCTTTGGCAACTAATCTTGCCTTGTACCTTATCACCACACCCATTGCATCTCTATTAGTTCTAAATACCCACTTACAACTAATACTAGATCGATTTGTTGGAAGAGGTGTCAATTTTCATGTACCATTGTCCATAAGAGATTGGTACTCTTTTTCTATAGCCTTCTTCCACTTGATTGCATCTTCACACTTCATAGCATGACACAAAGATAATAGATCAGCAAATAGAATAACATTTGCATATTCTTTACTTACTTGAGAGAAGATGTGATCCTTCCATTATTTGCCACGTTGCCTTCTTTCTCTCAAAGGATATCTCTTTTCACTTATAGAAGAACATTCACCTTCTTGCACTCCTTGTTTTTTTCCAACTTTTAAACCTTGTCATTTCTCACTCAATGGTTGATACTCTTCATCATTATCATCATCCCAATCTTCAACATCTTCATTTCTTTCATTGCTAGTCCTATCAATTGTAAGAACCTTCATCTTTTCAACTTTCTTTGGCTTTTCATCTTCATCATCTTCATTGTCTTCATCTTCTTGTTTCTTTACTGAATTCAAAGATGTATCCACAAACACACCATTACTCTTACTTAAACATCTCTTTAAATGCTTACAAGCACTTTTGTGCTCTAAAAACTCAACATCACGACTTTTAATGATCTTCTTGGTTTCCAGGCACATTAACCTATATGCCTTAGTACCTTCACAATAACTAAGAAACACACACTTTATATCTTTTGCATCAAGTTTGGACCTCATACAATCTGATTTTTTTGCATATGCAATGCAACCAAAGGTTTTTACATGGAAAATACAAGATTGTCTCCCACTCCAAGCTTCTTGTGGTGTCATTGATGCAAAAGCACTTGTTAGATACTTATTTCTTATATACAGTGCATTTACTACAACTTCTGCCTAAAATTCATATCCAAGGTTTTGAGCATGAAGCATGCTCCTTGCCATCTCTACAATGATTCGATTTGCTCTTTCAACAACACCATTTTGTTGTGGAGTATATGGAGTTTTGGTTTATCTAGCAATTCCTTCATTCTTCAAATAAACATCAAATTGCTTAGACATGTATTCACCTTAATCTTGCATTCACTTTGTTCTCAACAAGTGCTTTAAAATCATTAAACCTCCAAAAGTATTCACTCTTGGCTTTAAGAATGTAGATCCAAATATTTCTTGAATAATCATCAATGAAAGTGAAAAAATACCTTGATCCTCCAATACTTATATTCTTCATAGGTCCACATACATCCGAATGGACAATCTCCATCAACTTAGTAGTACGTGTTGCTACACTCTATGGTAATGAAGTCCTTTGTTGTTTGCCTTGTATGCATCCTTCACATGCAAGTTGTTTTGTATTTTGGCTTGTATTTCCAAGTTCTAAGTTACTTATCATAGTCTTGAGCTCTCTCATGCTCTTTACATTCAAATGGCGAAGGCAACAATGCCATATATTCAACTTGTCTTGATTTGATGTAAACTCAACAAATGCGGCTACCTCCATTCCATTCACCTTCTTACAAATGAAGTAGTAAAAATTTCCCTCTTTCAAGCCTTTGAAGACCTTTTCTCCATTTAGTGTTCTTATAAAACATCCATTTATGTCAAATTGAACTTTAAAACCTTCCATTACAAGTTTACTCACCAAAAGTAGGTTTTGCTTCATCTTAGGCATAAGAAGGACGTTTTTGAGTCTGATCCTATTGGTTTGTCCATTCACAACCACCTCCACCATAATAGAGCCAATTCCAATGGCTTCACATGT